GGGAGCAGAGCAGGCAGAAGGACCGAAGTACACTGCTGAGGGGACCAGTGGGCGGCAGGAGAGGTCTGCACGCCATGTGGGACCCTCCTCCGGTGGCCGGGGAGCGGCCGGGGAGCAGCCGGGGATCGAACCGGCGCTGCAGAGGCTGCGGGCAGCTTCGCAACCCAGCACTCAACCACTGCGCCACTGCAGAGGCCCTCCCCTTCTTTTTTAATCACATTTTAATTCTGCTATTTCATCGGCATATTTTCTTCCACTGTATTCTTCAACAAAATTACAGATTGTGTACCTATTTATCAAGGTCAAAATAACTCCTCATAAACATTCTGTTCCTGGTAATAGCCTCCCAAGCCTGCTTCTACTTATAAAGCCCTTTATTAATATTTTTTGTCAGTAGTTACTTTGTATTTTTATAGAAATCTGGTTTGAGCTTTCTTTGTATATTTTCTCCAAGCTGTTTTGCATCATGAATCTTAAGTATTATGTTTGTCCACACTGACCTTTGTCTCTGTACTTTGAGTGGTTGCTGATCTGAAGACAGATATAGTAAGTCCTCACTTAACATCATTCATAGATTCTTGGAAACTGACTTTAAGTAAAACAAAATGTAATGAAAGCAGCTCCTCGAATAGTCCTTTCATTCAAGTCAATAGGATTTTTTTTTTCCCTCATCAGTGTCATAACAAAACAATGTCACTTGAGGACTGCTGTGTAATAATTCTGGAAGTATGCATGTCTCAGGTAGTATTTAAGAATCTAAGCTCTTGAGTTAAATTTCTGCTTCCTCTCACTATTAGCTGTGCCACATTAGGCAGATCCATTGTGTGTGTGTGTTTATTTTTTCCATACCACCAACCAATTCTTTGACACCAGCTGAGTACTCTGCAGTTTAACTCAATTCAGACACTATATACCTGGATACACCATCAGATCCCACAGCTTAAGGGGATTGATCCTTCCTCCCAGTACAGATGTTTTTTGCACCCCTAGGTTGTCACCTGTGTTTCTGACCCAGCCACAGAGGCAGAGATCAGAGGCTCCAGCAGCCCCTCTTGGGTTCTATTAGTTTGCTAGAGTGGCTTATAGAACTCAGAAACACATTTTACATTTTACTTAGATTGCAGGTTTAATATTAAAGGATATAATTCAGGAATGGTCCGATGGAAGAAATGCATAGGGCAAGTTATGTGGGAAGGGGCTGCAGGGCTTCCATGCCCTCTCTGAGCTTGTCATTTTCCCCTAATCTCCACATGCTGACCAACCCAGAAGCTCTCCAAACCTCATTTTAGGAATTTTTTTTTAAGATTTATTTCTTTTTATACAAGAACTGGGTACAGTCAGAGGCGCGGGAGGGTGAGAGGATTCACCAGAGGCAGAGCCCATTGCAGAACAGGCAGACGGACTGAAATACACTGCTGAGGGGAGTAGCGGCCGCAACAGGAGAGGTCTGTGGTGCCATTTGGGTATCTCCCTGGCCAGCCAGGAATTGAACCCACACTGCACAGGCTGCGGACAGCTTCACGGTGTTGTGCTCAGCCCAATGTGCCACCGGGGACCCCATTTTAGGATTTTATGGTGGCCCTGTCACAGACTTGATTGATAGAATCATTCATCTTTGGTGCTTGGTTTCACCTCCAATCCCTCTCCCCTGCTGGAAGTGTGGGGGAGCACTGGAACTTCCAACCTTCCAATCACGTGATTGATTTTCCTATCAACCAGCCTCATCCTTGCATACTTTCTAAAAAGTAACCTTATTGGACCTCCCCGGTGGCACAGCAGTTGAGCGCTGGCTTGCGAAGCTGCCCGCAGCCTCTGCGGCGCCGGTTCGATCCCCGGCTGCCCCCGGCCACCAGAGGAGGGTCCCACATGGCGCGCAGACCTCTCCTGCCGCCCGCTGCTCCCCTCAGCAGTGTACTTCGGTCCTTCTGCCTGCTCTGCTCCCCGCTCTGGCTCTGGTGAATTCTCTCACCCTCCCATGCTTCTGACTGTACCCAATGCTTCTATAAATAAATAAATAAATCTTTAAAAAAATAAAAAGTAACCTTATTAACAAACTCAGGTGTGGTAAAAGGAGTTTGTTATCAATATCAAGATATCTTTTCTGCTCTTATCACTTATGAAATCCCAGGGTTTCCTTAGAAACTCTGTGCCAGAAATTGGGATGAAGACCAAATACACATTTGTTATGATAGCTCACAGTAACGCAGCAGTTACCTAACCTCTCTCAGCATTGATTTTTCTTATCCAGGAAATGAGTAATGATACCTGTTTCCTAAACAAGATAATGATTGCAGAGTTCTGTATTAGTTTCCTATTGCTGCCATAACAAATTACCACAAATTTAGTGGTTTACAACAACACATTTATTATCTTACAGTCCTGAAGATCGGATTAGCAGGTCTCACCATGATAGTCTTGCCAGGGCTCTGTTCCTTCTGGTTGCAGGGTAGAATCCATTTCCTTGCAAGTCCCAGCTTCTGGAGGCTGCTGCATTTCTTGGCTCATATGCCCCTTCCTCCATCTTTAAACTCAGGTCAAGTTCCTTTTATACACACATCTTTCTAGTTCTCTGCAGTCCGGGTAGGCTCACTGATTTTAAAGATTCATTATGACTATTTTGTGTCCTTCTGGATAATTCAAGATAATCTTCCACCATATCAAGTATACCTTAACATCAATCACATATGCAAAGCCCCTTTTGCCACCTAACATAACATATTCTTAGTTCCACTGGATCAGGACATGGACATCTGTAGGGTCCTCCTGCAGGCACTTAGCACTGTGCCTTGCTCTTTGTAAGCCCTTGGTGGCAATCATTCAAGGCCCTCTGTACTCTTACAGATACCGAGCTGAAGATGTAAGCTCCCAGGCACAGGGTACTTCCTAGTGGGAGGATAAGGGGGCTGAGAACAGAAATGATTCTGATCCAGAAATAACCAGAGCCTGTGTGGGGGTCAACCAAGTGCCATGAGCTAGTGAGAGGTCTCAGGTCAGCAGGTGATCTGACAAGTTTGAACAGATAGATAAATGTGTCAGTAATGAATGCAAGTGGAGAACTTAGAAATGAACTTAGAAATGGTTGATTCTCAACCCAGATGAGAATCTTTATAGGATAAAGGGTAAGAGGGAAGAATAAGGCAGAGCAGGGCCTCCCTGGTGGCGCAAGGGGTTAAAATGCAGCCTATGAAGCTATCTGCAGTCACTGCAGCAGGAGTTCGATCCCCAGCCAGGGAGCTACCCACATGGCATAGCAGACCTCTCCTGACTCCCCAACTTTTCCCCTCAGCAGTGTATTTCAGTCAATCTGCCTGTTCTGTTCCCCGCTCTGTCTCTGGTGAAACCTCTCATCCCACCCCCAACTCTGGCCTGTACCCCAGTTCTTGTATATATATAAATAAATAAATCTTTTTTTTTAAAAATAAGGCAAAGGAAAAGTCTTTTCTGACTAGATAATTAGATTAGTTCATATCTCTTGAATCTTCCCATTAGTCCCACTGGACTAATTTCTTTATTCAGGCAACCAATACATGCCAGGCACTGTACCTTGGCCTAGGGTGCAGTGGACACAATACACAAAGCCTGCTTTCTCAGGGCTCAATCCCGTGGAAGTAACGTGGAGCCATAATACAGTGTAACAGTGGGAGCCTATAAGAAGGGTATATACCTCCCTCCCAAATTTACCAGGACCCAAAAGGAATCTTGAAGGACTGAAAACTGAAGAGAGAGTCAGAATTTATCAGTTAGAATGCTTTAGGCCCCAGCTCAAGTGGCTTTAAACAATAATGAACTGATTGGCTTGTTTACCTGGAAGCCCACAAGTAGGCCTTAAGCTTGGTCACTGTGGCTCCATTTTTCTTTTTCTTTCTTAATTTGATTTTGGGTCCGTTTTTCTGATTCTCTTCCTCTGTGTGTTGATTTCATGCTCAGGCTGGCTTCCCTTGTAGTGGCAATTCCAGGTGTCACATGAGTACACCAGTATGCAGAGGAAGAAAGACATCTATTTTATTAACTCTGGGAGTTTCCTTTTCTAGAAACTCCCAGCATCTGCCCCCTTGCATCTGATTGTGAGCCAATCCCTTTGTCCAAGCAAGTTCTTGACTTAGGTCTAAGAACCTATCACAGTGGCAAGAACAGTGGAGTTACACTGTCTGAAATACATGGTCTGATCTGGAGCAGGGAGACAATTAAATCCAGATCTCTTAGAGATGGGGGGGCGGTGAGGGAACAGAAGGAATACTATGTGGGAACACCCGGTGACGTGTTCTCCCTTCTCCATAAGACTCGATTCTGCCACTTCATACCTTCTGCTTTTCATGGGTTCTGTTTTCTCAGAGCCCTGAATTTTCTGTGCATGTTTTCAACTTCAGCATCTGTTGTTAACTTCCTTACTCTTTCTCTGTCTCTCTGTTGAAATCCCCAATCTCAGGACTCTGCTCAATTTACTTTGGCATACCCGGCTCCACCATTTGAAGTTCTGGAACTCCATTTGAAGTTCCAGAAGATCAGGGACTTTGTTTTATATACTGCTATACCCCAGGTGCTGTACCCCAGCACCTGAAAAGTACTTGATACAGTGCTCAGTAAATTAAATATATGCCAAATGAGTGAAAGACAACCTTCTAGTTAATCGGCTGCTCTGGGGAAGATGCTTCTCTGAGCAGATTTTCTATGGCTCAAATGTTCCTTCTAGTGGTAGGAGCAGAAATTGGTTTGAATTTCACTCCCATTATTTACTATTATCTGAATTCCAGTTTATTCTTCTACAAAATGGGATCAATTAAACCTGCCCTGTGACTCAGAGCTGTCAGTCTCAGGTGAGATCATGAATATGACAGATACTGTCAGATGCAAGCAGTTCAGTTCAATTCTGGTCACTCATTTACACTTGGAAAATACTGGGAATGGAGAGGCTAGCATACCTGTTCAGTTCTACTTCCCGATGTTGATTTCCTCAGGACAGCCTCTAACTGGCCCTCTTGTTCTTTCCATTTGTTCCCTAGGGTCACTCAGGATGTGTCAACTGTCTGGAGTGGAATGAGAAAGGAGAGTAAGTATGAAAACACCCAGAGGATGCTGGAGCAGGGTGTGGGAGGCTAGGAGGAGAGGATTTCCCTTCCTCTTAATAAATCTAAGCAAGAGTGGCATCAAGTGATTGCTGTTCTCTGCTATGTTCTTAAGTTAAGCTTGTCATTATCAAGGAGTCCCAGACAGAAGGCAAGTTGGACGACCATCCCAGACCTGTTTTATTGATTAAGCCAATGTGTTTAAGGAATAAAGGGAAATCTCAAAGCAAAATAGAAGGCAATCAACTAATGTTTATAAGATAACCTTAAATTCTTTGACATCTACTGTTCTTTAAGTTCTGTGGGTCTTACTCCTTATCAAGCGGGAATGTGGGAAAGTGGAACCTGGGAACTCGAGGAGAGGTCAGAACCCCTCACTATGATTTGCAGCTTGCTGGCTTCAGGTTCCGATGACCAGCACACAATTGTGTGGGACCCACTGCACCACAAGAAGCTGCTCTCCATGCACACAGGACACACTGCAAACATCTTCTCTGTCAAGGTAAGCAGATACGCCACAGAGCAAGTGCCGGGGTGGCTGGGCTGTGGGCACGGTGCCAAGTTCCCTTGTCACCCCTGGAGTCAGGCGTGTCTTGATCTGAGCATCTGGTGGCGATTCCTTTTCCCTGCTCTGCGCCCTCTCTTAGAGCCAAGAGGTCAGTCTAGTTGAATGTACACTTATGTGAGGGGTGGGCACTATGGTTCTGAGCACAAACTTATTTATAGAGCAGGCAGAACTGTTTGGAAGCTGTGTGAACTAAGCAAATCTCCTGACCTCTCTAAGCCTATTTGCTTATCTGCAAAAAAGGAAATATCTAAGGAAAATCTCCCAGATTCATGACAAAAATGAATAAATTAATTTTAAAAAATAAAGTAGCAATCCACTGGATTGATGTTACAGTTAAATAATTGGTAAACTTTGAGTTCAGACGCCATGACTTGACAATGGCTTTGACACTCCCTAACAGTAAGATCTTGGGCAAAGCACTTATTCACAGACTCTCCATCTCCTCTTTAGTTTAAAAGTGTGGAAGAGAATTCTCTCTTCAGATAGTAAACCACTAGCCATATTCATTTAGCCCAAGAGCTCCCCCTGGTGGAAACTACAGTGTGGAGGGGGTGAGTGTGGGAGTAGCCACAAACTTCGCAAAGTATCTGCCTGTTTACTTCTGTTGTACAAGTAGTCTATGCTGTCTCCACACTGGATTAAAACCTACTAGCTGTCCTTTAAAATGATTAAATTCTGTTTCATCTAGCCCTTGTCCACTAGAGAGATGTATGTAGAAAGAGTGAATTGCTGTTCTTGTATGAACATTTAAAGTCAAGTGGGATTTGCAAATGGCCAACAGGCATATGAAAAAATGTTCAACATCACTTGCCATCAGGGAAATGCAAATCAAAACTACCATGAGATACCATCTTACACCAGTGAGAATGGCACATATTAAAAAAACTAGCAACAACAAATGCTGGCGAGGGTGTGGAGAAAAAGGAACTCTTCTGCACTGTTGGTGGGAGTGCAAACTGGTCCAACCACTGTGGCGAGCTGTGTGGAGATTTCTGGACCTACTAAACATAGAGCTTCCATATGATCCAGCAATTCCACTCCTAGGTATTTACCCAAAGGACACAGAAACATCAATTCCAAAGAACACCTGCACCCCTATGTTTATAGCAGCACTGTTTACAATAGCTAAGCTTTGGAAACAACCCAAATGCCCAAAAATAGATGACTGGATCAAGAAGATGTGGTACATATATACCATGGAATATTACTCAGCATTCAAAAAAGATAAACACATGCAATTTGCAGCAACATGGATGGCGTTGGAAGGGATCATGCTCAGCGAAATAAGCCAAAAAGAAAAAGAAAAATACCGGATGGTCTCACTCATAGCAGGAATCTAGAAAACTTAAATAAGGGACCAGGAAAATGAATAACTATAAGAAAGTGAAAATCAAAATCAACAAAAAACTACGAACCAGAGACACTTTTAGGGGGGCGAGGGTGGGAGGGGAGGGATTGGGGTCAGAATGGGGGGGCTGCAATTGTATGGGGAATATAACAATAAAATTTATAAAAAAAAAAAAAATAAAAAAAAATAAAGTCAAGTGGGATTTAAGCTGCTTAAATGCAGAATGATTTCCCTCCCCTCACCCCCAACACCCATTCAGCCTTGTGGGTTGGGAGAAACTTTTCAATTAAGAAAAAAATTATTTTGGCTTCCCTGTGGTGCAGCAGGTTGAGCGCAGTGCTGTGAGGCTGTCTGCAGCCACTGCAGCACCATTTCGATTCCCGGCCAGCCAGGGAGATACCCACATGGCACGGTAGACCCCTCCTGTCTCGCCCACTGCTCCCCTCAGCAGTGTTTTTGGTCTGTCTGCCTGTTCTGCTCCCTGCTCTGTCTCTGGTGAATTCTCTCACCCTCCTGTGCCTCTGGCCTGTACCCCAGCTCTTGTATAAATAAATAAATCTTTAAAAAAAATGATTTCAATCTTTGGACCAAAGGAAAAAAGAAAACTCAACTAATACCACACCCAGATATTTATCTTTCTCAAAACAAGGTGATAAAACTTCATCCTTTTTAAAAAGTATAAATAAAAGCTATGTTTATGTCTGTTTTGTTCTTACCATATGTCACCTGGAGCATTTTGTTCTCAACTTCATCAGAATAGTAGGTTTTCTTCTGTATAAAAGCTGCATGGAGAATTGTCCTTTTGAGGCTCAGCCCCTCCCCAAGGTCCGCCATCTGAGCTGGTAGCAGCACTGGGATTAGAAGGAGTGCCACTCTGACCACTTCCGTTAGGGACCTTTTTCTTTCCTTTTAGAATTCTCAAAGTGGAAGTTTGGGGTCAAAAGATGGACATAGTTTTTATCTTTTTTTCCTATTAGCAGATTGTTCTCCAGAAATATTTGAACCAATTTAAACTCTTAAAACACCGAAAGTCCTTTTCATTTTTAGAGTAATTGGTTACTTAATCCCCAAGTTACTAAACAGTCCTCATGTGGCCATATGACATAGGAGTCAGAAAGACTTGGGTTTGAACAGGTACTGAATTATTAGTACGGAACTTCAAATTTTAGTGGGGCTATTTTAAGTATCAGTAAGATAAAATACTTGACCTAGTGTGTAACACATGGTAAATGCTTAGTAAATAACAGCAGCTACGATTATCAGCCATTCAGCTCTATCTAAGGAAGGGTCAGAGGGAAAGGGTTCCTTAGGCCCAGTGTGGCCTCAAGTGTGTCCTGATTTTGACCTGAAGGTGTATGGGCTGTTGCTCTAGATCCAAAGTTTTCTTGGTGGATTGCCTTGGATGGGCTGATCTTATCTGAATATAGAGAAGGAAAGAGGCTGCTAATATGCAGGGTGGTCCCAGGGCCAGTCCTACCCCCACCGCCTGCCAACCTCTTCTTCAATCTTTCCGGAGCAGTTCCTGCCTCACGCTGGGGACCGTATCTTGATCACGGGGGCAGCTGACTCCAAGGTGCATGTCCACGACCTGACAGTAAAGGAGACGATCCACATGTTTGGAGACCATACAAACCGGGTGAAACGGATCGCCACGGCACCCATGTGGCCCAACACCTTCTGGAGTGCCGCTGAGGACGGGCTTATCCGGTGAGGACCTGAGGCATTGAGTTGGGCCTTTGCCTCCCTGCCCTTCCCCTGCCCCTCTGCATGTCAGCTCCCTAGCCCACCTGTCTGTGCTGTTCCTTCCACAGCCTGGCTCCTTGCCTCCGGTGCTTCTAGCCACATCTGTGTTCAGGGCAGTTGTCTGTAAACACACTTAGCTGGGAACGTATTCTTACCACCTCCCTCACCACCGTCCCTCCTCTTTACACACTTCACTATAGTCAGGCCTGCCAGCCTGATTTCACCACCTCAAATGCCCAGTCTCTACCTCCTCTGGGCTTTCACACTCGCTGTTTCCTCCACCTGGGATTCTCTGTACCCAGCTCTTGCTCACCCTGTGGACTTCAGCGTAAGAGTCACCTCTGAAGCACCTTTTCTGACCATCTCTGCAAGGTAGATCTCCCTGTTATACTTTGCCTCAGCACCCTTAATGCATCCTTTGTGACCCTAATTATCACCTAGAGTTCTTTTATTTAACTTGTTGGTTTACTTTTGGGTCTGTATCCGTCACTGGCTAGTGAACTCTCTCTGGAGTTTGTCAGATGTGACCTTAGAACTTTTCCCTTATGTTCCCCACCAGCCGTAATTGCCTCCCTTGAGTTCCTATAGGACTTTGTTCCCTCTTCTCTGTTACAAAGGAGGAGAGGTATTTAAATCGTGAATGAACTACAGAACACAACAGTTAGAAGCAGGACACTGAAGTCAGACCTGGGGGCAAGTCAGTTTCCTCATCTATAAAATGGGAATTGCCGTAGTATCACTCTTGTTGGCCTGGGCATTAAAATTAACCTTAGCATAGCACAGTCTTGCATCCTTTAATGATGTTTCCATCAGCAACAGACCACATATCCGCATATCTCAGGTGGTCTCGGTAGTCCATGCCACAGAGCCCAGGTGTGTAGTGGACTGTGCCATCTAGGTTTGTGTAATTACACTCTGTGAAGTTTGCCCAACCACAGAATCGCCTGATGATGCATTTCTCAGCCGCGCATGACTGTACTTGGAAGACAGAAAGCACTTTGTCAATCGTCAGTCCAACTTTGTGTTGCACTTAATGACCTTGCCTGACCAGACTGTGCCAGGGCAGCAGGTAAAAAGCTGAGCATCTAGGGCCCAAGGTAGGAGCCTAAGCACGTAGGCACAGACACAGTCAGGAAAGGGCCTGGAAGAAGGTGAACATCAGTGGGGCTTTCCAGAATAGACAAGATCTAGGTGGGCAAGAAAAAGCAAGTAGGCACCCCAACTTGGGCAGAGTTTGTACAGACAGGTAAATACGGCACATACTGGACGAAGAGTTCTGTAGTTACAGTTGACCCACATTTAGAAAACTGAGAAACAAAGTTAAGAGGTATGTGAACTCACGTCTTGAAAATGAGTCTGAGGAATTTGGTAAAAGTAAACTAATGCTAAAAGTATTGAGCAGTTTCTACAATTTTCTGAGCCAGGAAAATGATGCAATGGAACAATATTTTAGGAAAAACCATCTGGTAAGGATAGCTTAGGAAGATAAGGTGAGCAGTGAAGACATCATCGCACATGTCTGGGCAAAGTTGGGTGAGTACACAGGTGAAGTCCTCCGGCTCAGGACAACCTTGTCCTGGCAGCAGAAATCTCCCCAGGCTGCACCAGTGGGGTGACCTTTAGCCCCTGGATGGGACTCTTGAGCTTGTCCTGGTACTTGGCGTTTAGATGACTCTCGACTCTCAGATTCTCAGATTCTCTTTTCTTTCACTCCATGCTTTTTTTTCCTGCAAGAAACTAGATTAAGGGTAGACTTAAGAAGGAGCAGAGCAGAGTGGTCTAATGCAGTCTTAAGAAAATATCCCAATTGCACTTGTTGCCAGTGTTATCTCAGACAGGCTGCTTAACTTCTGTGGAGTTCAGGGTTCTAATGTTGCCTTGTGGTGGTGTGAGGATTTAATTAGATAATACTTGTACAACACTTGGGACAATGCTGGACACAAAGCATTTTCTCACTAAATGTTAATAGTTTGAAGTAATAGTACATAGTCGTGATAATAAACAATATAGTAGTATCTGCCTTAAGGAGTTCTATTAGAATAAAGGAGTTCTATTAGAATAAAGCAATGTGTGAGATGCCCACTACAGGTGCCTGATACACACAGGGCTCTCAAGAAATGGCTTGCCATCCCTATTATTTACAAATAGGTCCAAACCTCCCCTCCATCCTCTTTGCACATTATGACCTTGCCTTCCACGTAAGAACCAGGTCCCCAGCCCCTGACTCTGTCCTCTCTCACAGCCAGTATGACCTTCGGGAGAACAGCAAACACTCGGAGGTGCTGATTGACCTGACAGAGTACTGTGGCCAGCTGGTGGAGGCCAAGTGCCTCACTGTCAACCCCCAGGACAATAACTGCTTGGCAGTTGGAGCCAGTGGGCCCTTTGTGAGACTCTACGATATTCGCATGATCCACAACCACAGGTATGAACTCCTCTTCCTGTGGGCACATCCCTGGGAACTTGTTGCCTGCTTTCCCTTGTTGTCATGCCCTCTTCCTTTGAGAGTTGTTTTTTTTTCAATTTTGTGTTCTTTAAAAACTTTAATCCGGGGCCTCCCCTGGTGGTGCAGTGGTTGAGCGCTGGGCTGCAAGGCTGCCCACAGCCTCTGCAGTGCCGGTTCATTCCCCGGCCGCCGGCAAGGGTCCCACAAAAAATAAATAAGTAAAAACTTTAATCCATGCTTATTTTGTAAAATATGAAAAGTATACTAAATTACCCATCATCCATCACCTGAAAGAAATCATTGTATATATAGTATTTGTATAAATAATCTTTTACTGTGATTATTTGTACAAAGTTATAATCATGTATATGTAATTTTATTTTATTCTTTTTTTTTCTAAACAAAAGTAAAATATACTCAGAACCTCTACAGAAATCCCAGGCCTGAGCTGCTCCCCCAGCTTGGGTTTTCAGTGGACTCCTGGACAGGTACAGGGATGTCCAGCCTGCTTTACCTTGATTCGTGGGTTTGGGCAACAACTGCTATTCCTCACAAACATGACTCGGCATGAACCTTGAGCCTTAGCTTCCTCCTCTGTAAATGGGGATGATAGGGTGGCCATAATGAACCAATGTTTCGAGTAGACATGACCTCCTAATAACATGTATGCCCACAACTGTCTAGTTGGCGGACCTGTGGGGGTACTGAGATCTGGAAAAAACATGCCTCCTGTATCTCTCCAGGAGAGATACATTTTCTTCAGGAAGTGTGTTCTGGCCTACCCAAGTGGGGAGTGCCAGGGGCTATAACCTCTATGGTTTGTCTTCCCACCAGAAAGAGCATGAAGCAGAGCCCTTCAGCAGGCGTGCATACCTTCTGTGACCGGCAGAAGCCCCTCCCGGATGGTGCAGCCCAGTATTACGTAGCAGGTAGGGCTCAGTCCAGCTCTGGCCCCAAAGTCTTGGCTGTATGCTGACTTTGTCCAGCACAGTGCAGGAAGTCAGCATGGGTGGTGGTCAAGAGCAGAAGTTGGGGAGTCGGACAGACCTGGGTTTTCATCCTGGCCACTATTGACCAGCCTTTTGTGACCTTTGGCAAATTGCTTGCCCGAGGAGTCTTAATTTCTTTTTCAGTAAACGAAGCACTTGTCCTGGCATATATAGTAGGTGCTCCACTTTAGCCACTTCTGTGGGGAAGGCGATCACTTCATCATTGTGGTGGCTAACTTCACACAATTTCCTGTCCCTTTTGTGGGCCACTGGGAGTCTCACATGAGACTGACTGGGCTGTTACCTGCAGGTCACCTACCGGTGAAGCTGCCTGACTACAACAACCGTCTGCGAGTGCTGGTTGCCACCTATGTGACCTTCAGCCCCAATGGCACCGAGCTGCTGGTCAACATGGGAGGGGAGCAGGTATGTATAGCTGTCCAAGGTCTCTGTGCCCCACCACCACCCTGTGCCCCACAGCCAGGCTGTGTGCCTCATAGCCACTGCAGTGAGGCAGAAAAAAACAACAGCTCATTGTAAGTGATGTCATGGTGAGACATGGGAAAGGCACAGCATGACTGAAATTCCCAGAGAGGCCCTGGTCTGGTCTTTTCCTGAGCATTAGCTTCAGAACTAACATACCTGTCTTCTAATGCTAACCTGTGTCTTCTAATGCTGACCTGCTTGCTAGCTTTGGTCTAGAAACAAGTCTTTTGTTGAACAAGTCTCTTCGTTTTTCTGAGCCTCGGTTTTTTCATTTGCTTTTTCTAGGAGGAAATCCTGGGGCTCAGAACACACAGCTCTGCTGTGACACAGGTCCAACTTTAGGAAATGTTCTTTGATAGTGTTCTTTTTTGTGGGCTCTCAGTCAGGGTATTTAGTAAGCCTTGCTAAAATTCATTTATTCTACAAGCCCTCGTTGAGCACTTCCTCTGGGACTAGCTTTACATAAACATGAGGGAGACAAATGTGAAAAAGGATCTATCCCAGGATGGTGGGAGACATGGCAAGTGAAACAGCTGATGACTTTACAAGGAAAGGTGCGATTGTGTACCAAAGAAATAAGATGGAGGAGAGGTGAGCTCCCAGGTTCAGAATAGGGCTCTAGCGCCAGAGACTGAGCCATCACCTGGCCTAGGGTGGCGTGAGGATGGGGGGAGAGGCGTCTGGCAGAGTGGTTTTAAGCCAGACTGGGTTTTGAGTCCTGGCTATGCCACATGCTATTTTTATGGCCCTGGATAAAATACTTAAACTCTGAGACTACATTCTTCATCTATAAAGGGGGTGATTATAATAGTCCTCCTTCATGGGAAGGTTTCTAGGATGAAATGAGATTTGGCAGCATTTCTGGAGCAAAGTAAGAATGCAGTAAATGTTAAGTAATATAGATATTATTTACCAAGAGAACTAACTAGCAGTGTTTGGGCAAATTGTTTTTTTTTTTAAGATTTATTTATTTATGCATACAAGAGCTGGGGTACAGGCCAGAGGTGTGGGGGGTGGTGAGAGGACTCACCAGAGACAGAGTGGGGAACAGGACAGGCAGATTAACCAAAGTACACTGCTGAGGGGAGCAGCGGGTGAGTCAGGAGAGGTCTCCTGAGCCATATGGGTAGCTCCCTGGCCAGTTGGGGGATCGAACTCTTGCTGCAGAGGCTGCAGACAGCTTTATAGGTTGCATCTTAACCCCTTGTGCCACCAGGGAGGCTGCAAATTGTTTTTATTTTTCATTTTTTCTCTTTTGTTTTTATTGTAATTTTTTAAAGCTTCTATTTGTTTGGGCAAATTGATTCCCTTCTCTGAGGGTTTATTTTTTTCTCTGTAAAATGAGTCATTTGGCTTTGTGATCTCTGGGGCGGAGGGGGGCGGAGGGGGAGGGGGTTTCAATTTAAACATGTGATTCTAATTAATGACATTATTTCCAGCGGTCCACCCTAAAAGGCCCAGCAACTGGGAAGATTTCCTCCTTGAGCTTTGCCCCATAGAAACCTCTCCCCACCTCTCTCCTTGGTTCCATGCTCAGCACTCACTGTGTTCCCGAGTGTCACCAGTGCTTGCCCCAACCACTTCTCATTTCACTGCCTTCATCTCTCTTGATCCCTCCACTCTAGGTCTATTTGTTTGACCTGACTTACAAGCAGCGGCCGTATACCTTCCTCTTGCCTAGAAAATGCCACTCCTCAGGGGGTAAGTTCCCCCTGCTGCAGAGCTTGAGTATGTGCTACCTGTGTGAGAAGCCTGCCCCTTACCTTGTGCTGTGACTGTGATTCTCCCAGAGGAGTAGGTTCTCTGAAGTGATATCATCTCTACAGTAAGCAGGAAGATAGCAGAAGTCAGAGAGGTCTGCAAAGGGTTGGCAACACAGCCCTCTTGCTTCCCTCCGAAAAAGCAGGTTCTTTCCATGATGTGACTCCTGAGCACCTGAAGTAGTTGCCCTTCCCTTCTTGTCTTGGATCAATGTCCTCATTGACTTCTTCCTGGAACCTGCAGTAGATTTAGGCACCTCCTTAGCCACCATTCCCACCCCTCTTTCTAAGGGCAATGCCAAGTTGAAGTTGTGTCTCTCTGCAGCCAGCAGAGGGCGCACAGACTTTTCTTTATGCCCTTGCCTGCTGGTCCATCAGATCTTTTCAGGGAATGAATCTAACCCTGGGAGGATAGCCACACTAAGGAACCATTCAACCCTGCGATGGAAGCTGAGGGCTGCAGAGAAGAAATGAGGCCATCCTCTTGAGTTGTTGCTCTTCCTTTCTCCCCATCCCCTGCCAGAAGTTCAGAATGGCAAGATGTCCACCAATGGTGTGTCCAACGGTGTATCCAATGGCCTGCACCTTCACAGCAACGGCTTTCGGCTGCCCGAGAGTAGGGGACATGTCAGGTGAGCCCAGCCTAACTTGTCCAGCCCTCCCAAGTCCAATTATATCTTACAGGGCAGAGGGAGGGGCATGTCCTGTAAACCCTCTTGACCCACCCAGGCATGCACCACAGAGTCAGGGAACCAGGGCAGAGAGACTTCTGGAGGGTGGCCTGTGGTCCAGTACTACTCCTTCCTGGTAGGACTGTAGTTAGTTAGACGGGCCGTGCAGCTTCATACCTGTAGCTGAGTCAGGACCCAAGGGGTGGCTGTATCTCAGTACCAAGCTCCCTTCTAAAGGGGTTCCACACAGATGGGCCTCCCCATTGTATTCTTCTCCATACCATAGCATATTTTGCCTCTGTTCTCTGCCAGACACTGTGCTGGCTTCTGATCCAGAGGTGCTCAAATCCTTTAGCCCTTGAGAGAAGCAGTTCTCTAAAGAGAGATCCTGGGAGGAACTTGGGTGGCCCTAAGGATCAGCATGTAGGCAGGTGGTGTCAGTGACGGTCAGACCCAGGAGTTGGATGAAGAAGTACCTAAGGCTGCTCAGGTCAGTTTTATTTCTGCCCCTCTTTTTTTTACGGACTCATGAGTATCTAGAATTATATCCATTACCTTTCATGGTAACTCAGACAAGGATAGTAATGGTCCCTTCTTGTAAATGACAGTGCATTTCCTGGGGGCTAAAAAAATCATGGTGGCCCCCAGGAAGGGCTACAGATTTCTGAGAGACTGCTCTGACCTCCTTTGGCTGTCCCAATTTGGCTCTGTTTTTCCCATAGTCCCCAGGTAGAGCTGCCCCCATACCTGGAGCGTGTGAAACAGCAAGCCAATGAGGCCTTTGCCTGCCAGCAGTGGACCCAGGCCATTCAGCTTTATAGCAAGGCCGTGCAGAGGGCCCCTCACAATGCCATGCTCTATGGAAACCGAGCTGCCGCCTACATGAAGCGCAAGTGGTGAGTAAAGCCAGACCAGGATGAGGGACGGAGGCAGTAGGCCTGATGGACCCAAGTGCTGAGGCATCTAGGGAAGGTGGCAGTGACATCCTGCTGCCGAGTAAGGGCTTCTTGGGCCCAGACCTCTCCTCCCTGCCTCTAGGCTGGTAGTGAGCAGGTACCTGACCCGCTAGTCAAGAAGACTTGGTTAACTGGAACACGTTCCCAAGTAGTTTCAACATGGTGCTCTGTTGTAATGTGCTGTGGCCACTGAGAAGTAGGATATGAGAGACTGCTTAACCCCAACTGTTGGAGAATTGGACCTTAAACTGAATTTCAGAGACACAGAATCTTGATGGATGGAAATGAGGCCATTTAGAGAATTCAGTTGATAGCCATCTGAAATTAATCTGTGCCTCCATTACTGACCTTGGAGCTTACTTTCCTGTGCTCTGAGATCCTTTGGACCAAGCACAATCAAGGTCCCAGAGACCTGAAGCCAGCTGTGGGTCATGCTGGGTTGTAGTAGCCGATGATAAAGGAGTAAGTCCATAAGCATAAGTATCCTTTATCTCTGGACACCATCAGGGGTCCCTAGCCCTTCTGCCTACAGTACCAGCAGGCAAGCAGACAGGCAGACCCCATCCCCCTGCCAGGGCCAGGACTGGAGATGGATAGAGCTGGGCCCACAGCCATTTCTGCTCCGTCTGGCATCCGTCGGCTCTGCCCAGACAGACGGGCCAGCTGGTGTGCCATCGTCTGGCTGCAACACGGCCAGGCCAGGAAGGAAACTTAAGAAACCCACCCAAGTTAGCAGGACGATAGATGGGGGTTTGTGAAGATGCTACCCCAAGACCTTAGCTCAGGCATCAGGAGTATACCAAGGGTTCATATAGTACCAAACTCAGGAGATGACAGTTTTGTTGGGGGTTTCACCTCCCTGTCCCAACAGTTGCATAGAACACAGTGATCCTGGTCCTGATCCTGCTGAGAGCTGTTTCACTCATGCATTTCCCAAACCACATTTACTCGATATGTTCTCTGAACTCCTACTATGTGCTAGATACAGTCACTCTGAGCTCTTGGATTCCAGAGTGCCTAGGGGAGAAAGACATGAACATAGCATATCACCAAAGAGGCAGGGCGCAGTTAGTCTCTGAGTGGTCAGATGAAATGCTGTGGGCTTCAGGAAAAAAGTTAGGTGGCTTTAGCTGGGGATCAGGGAAGCATCAGGAAGATGTGGTATCTGAATGGGCTTTGAGTGTGGGCAGGCGTAGACAAGGAGATGAAAAGGAGGAGGGGATCATGGGGGAAGGACATTCCCAGGGAGACAAAATGGTGTGAACAAAGGCGTGGGGGTGGGGACTGACTGAAGAGCTTGTTTGCAGAACAACAAATCCATTTGGCTGAAGCAGAGGGTTCGGGAAAGGACTGGCAGGAGATGAGTCTGTGAGGTAGCCTGGGGCCGGCCTGGGAAGGACTTGGAATGCAGAGCGGTGGCGTTTTGGCCTCGATTCAGTG